TTTTTTATTTTATGTGGTGCTGAGGATCGAACCCAGCACCCTGCGCATGCCAGGCGAGCACGTTACCACTTGAGCCACATCCCCAGCCTTTTTTATTTTTCTTTTGAGACAGGACATCACTATTTTGCCAAAATTAGCCTTGAACTTATAATCCTGTCTCAGTCTCTCAAGAACAGGCATTATAGGTGTATGCCACTGTGTGTAACTGAGGTGCCATTTTTCAAGATTCCTGAAGTTGGAGGACATGTTTGAGCCAGGTTGTCCCTGTGATGTGATGTGGATGTTGTACAATCTCCTGGAAAGTGTAAATCTAGGACCCATTGTCTGCTTCTGCATCTGATTCTCAACCTTGGCTACATATGAGAAACTGGGAAACATTTAAAAATATATATGACATTATTATTTAGAACATTCATAACAGCTAAAACATGCAGAATATTAATTCGACCATGAAACGGAAATAAGTCCTGATGTGTACTACACATCATGGATGAGTCTTAAAAACAAAGCTAAGTGGAAGAATCCGGACAGAAGACCATATTTATTGTATGATACCATTTATGTGACTTGTCCAAAATAGGCAAGTCCATAGAGACAGAAAATAGATTAGTGGTTGCCAGAGGCTGAGGTGATCGAGAAATAGGAAGTAATAACTAATCATGGGAACAGGCTCTTTTTGGAGAGTTATTTTGGGATCAGTTAGTAAGGATGTCTGCACAACTTCATGAATATACTAAAAACCTCTGAACTGTATGCTTTTAAAAAAAAAAAAAGAGTAAACTTCCTGGAATGTGAATTATATATTCAAAGGGTTTTTCTTTTTTAGTACACCTACCCTTGTGTCCAGACCCTGGTCCAAACCAATAAAATCTCTTGGGGGCTGGGGATGTGGCTCAAGTGGTAGTGCACTCGCCTAGCATTCGTGAGGCACTGGATTCGATTCTCAGAACTACATAAAAACAAAATAAAGATATTGTGTCCACCTGGAACTAAAAAATAAACATTAAAAAAAAAAAATCTCTTGGGAGATGGCATCAGGAAATCCTATTTTTCTTAAAGGTTCCGAGAGATTGAAAGGGTAGCTAGGTTTAAGAACCTCTGCTTTGGGCTGTGGTGGGGGCTCAGTGGCAGAGCACTTGCCTAGCATGTGGCACTGGGTTCGATCCTCAGCACCACATAAAAATAAATAAAGGTATGTCCATCTACAAAAAGTAAAATAAAATATAATAATCTCTGTTTTGATGGAAAGCTAAAAGAATGAAGGCTATTTTTACACTTGTTAGTAAATTGAGCACCTGCTAGCAGTCCAGCTCTACTTGTATCAATTCCACCTATATACCCCACAGTACTCTCTGGGGCTCAGGGCGCTGTTTGGTGAGGGGAGGGGGGTATTCAGAGGGTCCCTTTTGGAGCATAAGGGAGCAGTCCTGTGATCTGAGACAGCCGATTTTGATGAAATAACTTAGGTCTCCTGCAGGTTATGCATTGGGTAGCCCCTGGGGAGTGCCCTTTGCACATTCTTATCTGACATTGTTATTTTGTGGATTTATAGGCCTCTGTAGATCCAGGTGCCACATCAACATTGTTTGTCTTCCCTGTAGGTCATTTGGATCATCTTTTACACTGCCATTCACTATGACTGAAGGTGTACAGTTCCCACCTGCTCCCTGTCCAGTCCAAAGGACCCTCTTAATTACAGCAGAAACATCATCATTGGGACACCCCAGCCACATGAAACCTGGAAGACCCGTGTTTCCTGGACCGAGAATCAGTGTGTTGGGCGTCAGTGTTTTCTGCAAGGGTCATGACCTGAAACTTTTTAAAGAATCATCTGCCTTTGGGGGAAGCATTTCTGAATTTGTCCATCACCAACTTTCTTCTTGGATACCATCATGTAACAGCTGTTTGCTGAGTGGAGCTGTCATTTAATTTGATGCACCTCTGGATCGGGATGAAACATTAAATTGTCTTCCTCGGTTCTGCATCAGGTGTACAGTTTTTAACTATCAGTGGCATTTCAAGTCTTCTGAAAACAGTATGGCAGTATGTATGCGGTCGTTAGCACAGTACAAGCAGCAGCTGATAACAGTTTGCATTGTAGAATGTTTTCAGATACTTGAATAAATAAATCTTTAACTGAGAACCTGTCGATGATACCTGGTAAAGCCTTTCCTACCCACCTGTAGCCTCGGAACCAAGTAGAAGTACCAGAGGTGCCGCCTCCGCCTGTCCCCCCTTCCCCGGTCTGCTCCCTCAGCAACTTCAGCCAAGTGTCTTTCTCTTTAGGGAACAGGCATGGCCTTGGTCTTGGGTTTGTGGAAAGAGTGATTACCACTTCTGATGCCCCTGCCCAGCACTGAGAAAGGGCCTGGCCCACAGTGTGTTATGCCCCAAAATGTCATTTTGTATTTGATTACAAGATGGCAAGATCGGGGTGGTTGGGAGAGCTTGGCTAGGTTTGAATGATAAACTACAAAACTAAAGAGAGCTGAGGCTGTGCAAAGAAGCGATGGCAGGGGTGGGGGGGCGAGGGGGTGCTTCATGACCTGGATTATCAGCAGTCCTTCTCTTTGTTCTGGGAGTCAAATGGAGGCTGGACGACCCAGGATCTGCTGCTGTGGTAAGCCGTCAGCCCCTCTGCTCTCCTTTTCCTCATGAGCCAAAGTCCCTCCCCAAGGTGTGGCAGTATTCTGATCAAGACTTGTATGGTTCTTTATTTTTATTTATTTGGCAGTTGGACACAATACCTTTGCTTGATTTATTTGTTTTTATATGATGTTGAGGATCGAACACAACCTTGAGCGCCTTACCACTGAGCCACAACCCCAGACCTTTTATTTGTTCTTTTACAGTTTCTTTAAATGATTTGCTTCTCCTTGGTGCTAGTAGTGGTTTCTACCTTGTAGGTGAGGCTGGTTATCAGGGAGGTAGAGTGACTTGGTAGGCAGTAGATTGAGTGGTACTGGAAATCCTAAATTTGGAAACTGACTGGGTGTTTGCTTTGTGTTTGTGCAGTACTGGGGACTGAACCCAGCACCTTGCATATGGTTAAGCACCACGTGTGCTCTGCTGCTGAGCTACATCCATGGCCCTTTTTGAAATGTTTTATTTTGGGACAGTGTCTCACTCAGTTGCTCAGGCTGGCCTTGAGCTCTAGATCCTCCTGCTTCAGGGCCCCAAGTAGCTGGGATTACAGGCATGTGCCACTGCACCTGGCTAAGTTTACTTTCTTTGGAGCTCTGGCTCTGTTCTCAACTGCCCTCCACTTGAACTAGAGGTCATTCGTAGAGTCATTGCCTGAGAGGAAGTAAATGACTTCTTGGAGCCAAGTGAGGGAGGAGCAAAGGCTCAAGGTGGAGCTGGATGCTTTGCCCCCCGGGGTGCCCATGATGAGCTGAGTTGGGGTTCTAAGTGCCACAGACTTGGTTTCCTTTTTGACCTTTGCTTTTAATCTTGCCGTTGTCCAAAGAGGTGTCCTCAGTCAGGCTGATGTAGGAGCTGAGGGATTCCCGGAGCCCTTCACTAAGAAGAGATGCTTCCCCTGTGGCAGGTGCTTCCGAAAACAAGAGGGAGCTGTGGATGGGGAAAGCCAGGTGAGGGAGCTGCCTCCTCCCTGCACTCACCACATGGTCCACTGCTCTCAGAATAGCTCCATGTCACTCTCTTACTGACAAACTCAAGCAGGTGCTCCCTATCAAACCCCACCTGAACCTCTGCAGTCAGAACTCTGCTCCCGCACCCCCTCCTACTTTCCTTCCACCCTAAATGCCTTGAGGTCCATGCTGGCTTTCTCCTTCCTAACAATCTTCACCCCAACACACCTGCCAAGCCTGGAGGTAGAGCTCTCTGACTCCCAGGTGTCCCTGAGCATGACAGACCCATTCTGGGTTATGGGTTCCTAAGAGTGAGTCCTTCTAATGCTTCTCTGTTCTGCTTTCATGTTTCCAGTGGTCTCCTCACCTCTCCAGCTCTTTCCAATTGATTGATGTCCTCTGCACAGTCACTGGTAGGGGGATATCCTTGCCAGGAATTGGGCCAGGCCTCTGTAGTGCACAGGGCTCCTTGAGGAGGCAGCAGATGTCTTCTGCTAGCTCTGAGGAAGAGACCCACACCCTTGACATTGCTGACACCAGCCCTACTTACCCCACCACCACCTGCCCTAACTTGGGAGGGGATATGGTTACCAAAGAGCAGTAGGACCTGAGCCCCAAGCTGTTGGTCTCATGGAGACTTGAGGTGCAGTTACAAGTTATTGTGGACTGTTTTGGGAGACTTATTTTTTTTTTTTTAAGAGAGAGAGAGGAGAGAGAGAGAGAGAATTTTTAATATTTATTTTTTAGTTCTCGGCGGGCACAACATCTTTGTTGGTATGTGGTGCTGAGGATCGAACCCGAGCCGCATGCATGCCAGGCGAGCACGCTACCGCTTGAGCCACATCCCCAGCCCCATGGGAGACTTAACTTAATCCACTGAAATTTTGGGTAAATTAATAGACTTCTCTGGGCCCTAACTTCTAGTTAGGATCATGTTTTAGGAAGAATAAGCCAAGGGATGCTCATTTCTATTTACAGCATTGACAGTATCTATTGTGTGGAACCATCCTGCTTAGAAAGCTGCTGGTCGGTGTTACTAAGAGTCATCTTCCCTTCTGCCCTGATACTGACCTGGTTTCTTATTTTCCAGTGCTTTTTGTAAGACAGGCACCAGAAAATGCTGAGAGTCAGAACTGCATTGCATACAAGAACAGCTCAGCCTACTTCCTTTGAGGGGAGCCCTGTCTGCTGCGGGGGGGCTTTGGCTGAGGTATCAGCCAAGCTCATATTTGACCTGTAGCTTCTCTATCAGCTTGGGATAAAGAGTATCTCTGCAGCTACTGGCAGGAAGATGGGGAGGCTCCTCTTTTGTCTGGATATTCTCCAGCTATGAAGTGTCCACAGGCAAACACTCTACCCCCTAGACCCTTATCCAGTCTATTAGGAAAAAAAACAGAAAGGCCATACCAGAGTAATGGTCCACTAGGGCCTGCAGTGAGGGGAAGGTGAGGCGTGGTGAGATGTACAGCCAGCCGTTGTCAAGGCGCTGGATTCTATAGTGTCTGATCCGGTCCCAAGATGCAGGGCGACTGAGTCGGACAGACAGGGAATAACAGCCTGCAGAGAAAGAGGTTCAGAGGTTTTACTGAGGCCCTGCTGGGACCCTGCCTAGCTTGGAAGAAGAAAGAAGCTATGGCCACAGGGCCCAGGCTTTAGGGAATTGTGTAGGGCAGAGACAGGACACAGACTTGCTTTCTTGGTCATAAGTGATGTGTATAATAGATGGGGTCTTGTGAGGAAGAGTTGCATCATGCACAGAGCCCCGACCGTACAGGGTCAGTACTGTGTAAACGAACATATTAAATGTTGGCAGAAGTGTTGTAAGGTGAATATGTGTCCAGTAGATGTCAGCAAGGAGGCAGAGAAACTCCCTTACCTGCTGGTGAAAAGAGAAACTAGTACAAACCACTCTGGAAAGTTTGGCATTAAGCAGTTGAATTATACGGTCACATACCTTAAAACCCAGCAGTTCCATCCTAGGCATGTTACCTTAGAAATACATGAATATAGGGGCTGGGGATGTGGCTCAAGCGGTAGCGCGCTCGCCTGG